AATAACCAAGTTAATATTGAGGAACATGTATTGTAGTCTATTTTTGCTCCACCAATGAAATTAGTTCCAAACTATTAGTTCCATAGTTTGAGGGGACAGCCATTTGTAGTATGTAGTAGTGAACACCAGTGAGCTCCAGACATTATTTCAAGTGGTCTATATTAGTGGAGTAAAGTAGGGAATAGTGAATGAGGATATAGGGGTGATTTCAAACATAGCCAATGACTCACTTATAAAGAAAATCCCTTGTTTCATTCCTGAATGAACCAACATCATTGAAAGAATGTTTATTGGCATTGATGGTTTCCTTAATGTGTGTGTGTGTGTGTGTGTGTGTGTGTGTGTGCGCCTGAGTGTACCTTTACCATGTGATGTAGTTAAGATGTGTGTATGGAAATTACAGCATTGTAAGCCTTGCAAGCTTGACATGTGTATGCTTTGGAAAACAAAATGTTTCAACACTTTAGTTAGTGTGTTGCAATAACGGATGCATAAAGGCAAGATGGACAGACAGCTTTCTGAATATAATAATAACCATAAGACCTCATGACTGAAGTAACCAGCTGAGGGGGGTTTGTGAGATAATGTTTTTGGTCTGTGGTTTCTCTGGTCTTTCTGATTTGAACAAATACATTTTAGCCAAAGGAGCACAATACATGTACTCTAGGAACAGAGCAACTGATGGCATCTGAGGTTCAGGATGGACTGCAGGGCCCTTCCTCTTTTATACATCTGTAACTTTAACATGTCAAGACTTTAATGATTAAAATAACATTAGGGTAACATGCAAAAAAATCCATAAATGTTAAAAATAAATAAATACAGACAGACAGATCAGGTCAAAGTATGTCAAAGAATATGTGTAAAGTCTAACCTGTTCATACTAATTCATTTGCATAGTGGCCGTAAGTCAAAAAAGTAATAGTCTTGATAAATTGTAAAGATGGGCTCATGTGGTCTGGTGTTGTTCGGTTCAGCAATTTATTGCTCTGTTCCTAGAAGTTTAGAGCAACAGAATCAGCTACAAATTTAAATTAGAAAGCAAAGTTATACATGAGAGCAAAGTTGTCAAAATTCCGTGAATTTAAAATTGGTCAGAAACACATCTCAGTTGCAGCCAGAGGCGGACAGTAACTAAGTACATTTACTTGAGTATTGTACTTAAGTACACTTTTTGAGTATCTGTACTTTACTTAAGTATTATTTTTTCTAGGAACTTATGACTTTAACTTCCCTACATTTGAAAGACAAATATTGTACTTTTCACTCCACTACATTTCTATCAGGGTCCTCGACGTAGAAAGTCGTTACTATGTAGCAGCTTTGAAAGTCAGTGGGTGATTTTTTTACTTCTCTAAAACGTCTAGACTCTTTTTTTTCAGACAGCTTATCAGTAATCACTCTTGTAGGGCTACATGAAGTGATTTCCCAGCATTTTTTGAACACTGACCAGTTGCAAATGTGATATTTATTTACAACAATTCAATAATAAGAAGTTAATATTGTGGTATATATTAGACACAATATTGTCTGATTTTGCTAAACTGTGTACGTGAAAATATTACCTATAAAGCCACAGAAGAACTCCTAATAAAACACAATAGGTGTTGGACTTGAAGCAGCACGTGCACAGACCGTTCTGTGTGTGACATCAAAGTACATTTAGACAGCATTTTTAAAATTTTTGTTTTGATGTCAAATAAGTCTTGCTGTTTTGGTTTTTTGTTAAAGCTGTGTTGCTGTTGTAAAGTTATACAGCTACAGTCGTGTTGCTGGGTTTTAAAGCAGGTTTGATTTTTTTTCTTCCTTATCAGTCTGTATTTACAGGATTTCACTGTCCACTCTGTTCAAATGTGGATGAATGGCTACACATAGATGTGTGCACACACTGTCAGAACTGTGAGATCACTACCATCTGCTTTTGTCGGGGTGGGTAGGGGTGTTAATTTTTTTTAACATTCTAAAAGCTCTTTATTCAAAAGATACTACAAGCTAGTCAGTTTATTCAGTAGGTGTAATGTATTCTAAGTTGCTTTGGAAGTATTGCAAGTATTACGTACAACAATAAAACAGTGCATTGACATAAAAAAGGAAATGTACTTTTGGTACTTAAGTACTTTTAAAAGCAAGTACTTCTGTACTTTTACTCAAGTAAAAATCTGTCTTTACAAATTTAACTTGTAATGGAGTAATATTTGACCAGTGGTATATGTACTTTCACTCAAGTAATGGAGTTGAGTACTTTGTCCGCCTCTGGTTGCAGCTAATCTGAAGTACTGTGTCAGCTGTTTTTAACTGATGTCCTTACATACATAGTGGTAAATGTGTTTCTGCGGTGGTTAAACTGAATGTATTTGGTCCGTCTCTCAAGTACTGTCACAGTAAAACAACTGCTGAATAGCTGCTTTGAGCATCTTGTCTTTGTATCTTTGTATCTTTTTGTAAATAGATAAGTACTATGAATGCTTTCAAAAAGCTAAAATTTTATTTATGACGGTGATTATTATTATTAGTAGTAGTAGTATTAGTATCATTTGAGCTTAAAAGCTTTTTGAATCAACTTTTTTTTTCTCTCACCACAGTAAAATACTTGTTTACAGGCATATTGTTTGTCTTCTGGCTATAACATTGATACCGTGAGTAATTTTAACATTTACAAATAATTGGTGACTGATATACAGCTGATACAGTGAGTATTTTGATGTTCATGAATTTGCGCCATTCACTTCCATTGAAAGTGTCTCACTTTTTTCTTTTGGAGGAAATTACAATATTATGCCACTAAACCCAATATATTAAAATTCAGGCCTATCTTAAAATTATCCTGTCCAATCCTGTTTTAGTGACGCCATCTGCCATTTTCTCAGACACGCTTTTTTTCTTTTCTAATGTAAGTCTATGAAAGATTAGAAACTGTTTTAATTCTGAGAAATAAAACAGTTCCTAGAAAGTGGCTGCCAATAAACAGGATACACATTTGGACACTGCAGATGCACATTTAAGAGATATTTTCACCAAATTAATAATTAATTTAAATTGTTTTAAAAATCGTTATTGTCTTATAATTCCATTACAGTTTACAAAACAATCATCCTGGCAACAAGATGAACACTACAACAATTTTACAGCAGTCTTTTTCAATACAGGCGATAAGTTAGATGCAAGATGGCAATAAATATTGATCTTCGATCAGGGGTGTTCAGTCCTGCTCCTGCAGAATTACCATCCTGAAAACTTCAGCTTCAACACACCTGCCTGGAATCTAGTAATAAAAATGTCATATCAAAAATCTAATATCAAAGACACAATGTGATGCTTCTGAAGCAAAAATGGACACCCCTGCTTTAAATGATAATCATTAGTTATGAAAGTTTCACACTGTTAAACTTGGGTCACCCCATAAAAAAAATCCATGTTCCGTATGAGAGGTAAAATACTCTTCTCACAGATCCATTGATAAGCATCATTACATTTAACATCATGCCACCCTGATACATCATGTTTCTGTTTTAAATAAGTCACAGCACAGTTCTCTGCTGTTCCTCCATTTGGCTCTGTAATGTCTGCACCGGATGCCCAGAACCTGAAAGTACAGATCAGCATTAGATGTTCAGTGCTGCTTTCTGTGTGATATGATACTGACTGTGAGAATCATTCATTACATAAAAATCAGTTCAGTTCAGTGATTTCTCACCCAGTGGTCAGTGTGCTGCCATCAACCCATTTCCATGTTTTCTCCACATCACTGTCAGTCACACCAATCCAGAATTCTCTTTTATCAGTAATTTTCGTTACAAAATCCTAAACAGATAAACCAATTAGATGTTTATATCATAAATTGACAATTTAATCTGACCTTCTCTCACTTAGCAGCTGAACACCACAAACACACACAGTATCTTTCACTCACTTGTTCCTCATTGTTGTTTATGATGATCAGATCTGCTCCTTTTTTCTCACAGTCTCGTCTGCCCTCAGTCCAGTTCTTTGTCTTATTGGACATGTAGTAAAAACTGGATTGATAGTAAATCCATTCAGCTGTAAACAACAAGGTCAAGTAATTATTCCCATTTACTCTTACCCACCTGTATCTTCTAGTAGAGAAATTTACTCAATGACTGTACTGTATAGTGTACACTAAGAGTTACTGAGACCACAACTAAAGTATATAGAATGGTACCTTCTTTACCAAGAATTGAAAGCTGATTTATTAGCTGGTCTGTCTTGTTCAACAGATTTGCATTCTTTATTATTAGCTCATCTCTTTCTTTTGTGAGGTTGGTGAACTTGGTTACTAGCTCATCGCTTTCTTCTGTGAGGTTGGTGATCTTGGTTTGTAGCTGGTCTCCTTCTTCTGTGAGATTGGTATCATTGGTTAGTAGCTGTTTTGTCTCTTCTGTGTAGTTTGTGTTGTTTGTATGGATGTGGACACACAGCACTTTGACTGCAGTCAGCAGAAGAACACACAGCAGAACCAAACACACTACAGCTGCTCTGGAGCTTCTGCTCTTTGCTGAATCACTTCCTGAAGATGACAGACATAAAGAAATGCTTCTTAATTTTTACATAGAGTATTGAAAGTGTGTTTGTATTTGTACCTGTGTGTTGAGTTTGTTTTCTCTTCTCTGTCCTTATCCCTTGTTCCATCAGAGTTTGTATTGCCATATACAGGCTGAGATGTTTTTGTTCGCTCAGTCATGTAAATGGTGGAAGCTGTCTTTGTGTGTTTCTACTTTGCGGCTCTCTGATTTTTGAGATTTCAGTAGGTGAGGCCAATGTGGGGCAAATTACGTCAAAGTATAAGAGCATGTGACATCCTATTGATTCATGCCAATTAACGTGCATAATTATGTTTATGTGTCGTGGCGATGTGATTAAATGTAGCAGCCAGGTTCAAATTAGCACATGAGAGAAAAATCACCTGACTTAATCCAATTAAATTAAGAATTGCTACAAATTCAACTTAACTGGTGTTCAACATCTGTGTTCCTTATTTGAATTTTTGTTTAAAATGGCTGCTTCTTTCAAATGCTATTTCCAGAGTCGCTGAGAAAAGTAAAACGAAACTGTTCTGAGGTCATTGTGTAAAGTCTGTTCTGCATCTGTGGCTTTGTATCTTCAGGACGTTCCTTCTGTTCTCTGTGAGCTTTCAGAAGCCACAGCAGTTCAACTTCTCACACTCTGTGGCATTAGTTCATTGACCAGCTTCCTGATTATGACCGACAGGGTAGTAGTAAATGACCTTTCATTCTATTGTTCTTTCTCATACTCTCAAGCAGTTATGAGGAAAATATATATTATGATATAGCACTTTATACCATGATTGCCATGATTTTAACACAACATTCACAATTTTAATATTTGTTTTCAGTCAACACTTTTCCTTATATACCATCACACTATTGTCATATATGAATTGTGTAAATAACAATAAAGTGAAATAAAATGTGTTCAGCTTTATGCAAACCCATGCATTAACCCTACAACATGAAATATACTAATTTGGTGTTTCAATAAAGCTACTACATGTGAAAATGTAGTGCAGTTTTGTCTTGATTACTATATCGTTTTTATATGTACAGGTATCACTCATACATGGGCCATGTATATATTGCAGTATACTGAAAAATATAAGCACTAGTTTCCAGTAATGTGGAAATGTATTATTTAATATTGCATTATATTTTCCAGTATATTCCCATATATTCCAGTTTTTTGTGAAAGGGCACTTCAGATGTGTTTAAGGTTGTCAGTATACAGTTCAGTTATACATATATAACTCATTCTAGATATATTTATGACCTCCTGAGCATGCTCATTCATGAGGAACACTCAAGTTTGTGACATACGCAAACAATGAGTTATTGTCTGTAACTTTAACTTTAAAGTCTTATTAAAGGATCAGAAGAACACACAGCTGCACCAAACACACTGGAGCTGCTCTGGAGCTTCTGATCTTCACACAATCACTTCCTGAACACCACAGACATGATGTTAAATGACTGAACATGTGCAAACTGTGACGTTTAATCAAAGAAATTGATGTGATTACCTGTACGCTGAAGTGGTTTGTGGGTATTTGTCTCTGTCTTGAAATCATAATCTCTCACATGATCTGCACTCTCATAGATATCCACCGTCATCTCCATTCTCTCTCTCTTCATTCCCTCAGTCTCTGTCCCGAAGGCATCGTCATAAATATCATCAGACATGTTTGCTCTTCAACAGTCTAACATTAAACTATTTAGTTCCTTGTTCCTGTATAGATGTGTTTAAGGAGTCAGCGCTTGTCTTCTTTTAACACCAGTGAGAAACAAAGTTGTGGTCAATGTGTGAAAACTAAAAGTTGACAGACACTTAAGTTTAGAACCATCCATAAAGTAAATCTATAAACATGTCTAAAAATGACTAGTGATTTTTAGCAATATATTAATTTTAATCTATAATTATTATGAAAACCATTTGTCTCACTTTACCTCTATATTGTGGGTGTTTGTGTGTCTAAATATTATAATATCAAAACTTATATAGTATCAATAGTAACACTGAAGAATTTGAAGGACTTTCATAAGCATTTCTCTACAGGCCATCACCATCATGAATGACCGAACTGTTCTCATTTGCTAAATGTTTAGAAGAAAACACAGCAGCTTCAAACACACTGTTTGTAGTGGTGCCTGAAACTATAGTGTACATTGTCAAGTGCACTCATTCAATCCCACAAAGCAATGCAATAACTAGTGTACAACCAATACTGAATGAATCATTTGAATGAATGATTTGATGATTTACTCTTAAAGACAGTATTCAATGTATCAACTCATTTTAAAATGCTCTTCGACTTGAGAGAGCATCTTATCACACACTGCTGCTGTTCTGAAGAGCTGTGGTATTAGTTCATGACAAACTTCCTGATGATGACAGACATGGTGATAAATGAGCTTTCATGCTGTTGTTCTTACTCATATACAAATGTAAAAATAGTAAAGTATATATATATATATATATGTATGTATATACGCATATATATTTCACCATGTGGTGGGTTTTCCTAGATCGCATCACACACACACACACATACATATATATATACTGTATATATATATATATATATATATATATATGTGTGTGTGTGTGTGTGTGTGTGTGTGTGTGTGTGTGTTTATGCATACCATGGTCTGTCTGAATACTTGATTCTGATTGGCTTGCAGGTATGCATTATAACCGTTTAATGCACATGTAGTTCCAAGTCAGTTTAATCACCATTCTATGTTAATGTGCTGCTTTAATTGATGCACACAAACCCACAATCCTCACTTGCACACAAAAAAAAAACACACACACACACAGAGAGGGAGAGAGATTGGAGTTTGGAGATTCATGATTGCGATGCGCACACTTGTCAACGCTGCCCCGCGAATATTTATTTATTAATAAAAAATATTTTATTAATAAAATAGCCTAGATACTAGATCGCTACATTATATTCCTCAGCAATGAGGTGTTAAAATCACTGTTTTTGAAGTGACTAAACACAGCTTCATGAGTGTTGATATTAGAGTCCAACAGAACAGAACAGCCTCCACATTGTAACACTCCACATGCCGAAGTTGCCATATTGGACATAACAAGCTTGCTCTGTAGCTCAGCTGGCACGGAATTGGATTTACGATGTGGAATCCTTGGTTATGAATTCCGTCGAAAACACGACTCACGATGAAAGAGCTGAAAGATGAGAGATCGAAAAACAAGCTAAAACGGCAAGCTTGTGATTGTGTTTTTACATCACACATTCGCTTTTGTTCATTCTATCGGGTAGGTTTAGGTGTAGTGCAGTTGGTATGTTATTTTAAAACGTCACAGAGCATTATACTTACATCGCCACTCAACCACTGATCTATATATACTATTATAAAGATCAGTGCACTCAACAGACATTTTAAATCAGAACTGTGGTTATGCCTACAAAACCAACGTCACATTATACATGGACATTTCACATCAAACTTGTCATAAAACTTGTCATAAATGCAGTACGTATTTCGTGTCTTGTGAAAAAGTTCCTAGAGGTATGTTTTTGTCATGAGACCAGATTGGGATTTCCACAAACTGTTTTGTTTGAGAAAGTGCATGAATATATGCTGTCATGGTTTAATTTTTTCTTAATTTGAATTAGTTCATTAGTTTGGTATTAGTTTGTTTGATTGTTTTAGTAACTGACAAATTGAACACTCTGCTAATGCTGAATGTTGTTCCTGTTTTGGTCTGTGAAGACTGACGGCTCAGATTTTTATTAACACCAGATAGAACTAAACAGATGGAGATGTGTGAACATACAGCGCATGTGTGACAAAGAGCACATCTGTTTATTAGCAATAAAGCAATATTTATTTTTATATTGTATAATCACAAAGAAAACCATTAATTTTATGTTACTGCTGTATATAGTGTATGTTAGTTTATGTTTGAGGGCCTGGTCTGCAGACACACTTGTTTCTCGGACCTAAGTGGACCTATGAAGACCTCTACTCTCAACTACCTGTAACTTCTAGCAGATAGTTTACTCAAAGAATAGTGTATACGACAAGTTACTGAGACCACAACCAAACTACACAGAATGAAGAAACTTTTTACAAAGAATTGAAAGTTGATTTATTATCTGGTCTCTCTCATTCAACAGATTTTTGTTCTTTATTATTCGCTCATCTTTTTGGCCATGTTAGTTAGTAGCTGGTCTCTTTCTTCTCTGAGGTTGTTAATCTGGGTTAGTAGCTCATCTGTCTTCTGTAAGGTTGGTGATCCTGGTTAGTAGCTGGTTTGTCTCTTCTGTGTAGTTTGTGTTGTTTGTATGGATGTGGACACACAGCACTATGACTCCAGTCAGCAGAAGAACACACAGCAGAACCAAACACACTACAGCTGCTCTGGAGCTTCTGATCTTCACACAATCACTTCCTGAAGATGACAGATATGATGAAGATAAATGTTTCTTAATTATAAAATATATTGTTTTGAATTTGTAAAAATTGCAACTTCAGAGGAATAGTACGAATCTTGATGTATTTTGCAGCACTTGCTATGTGAACACACACATCTGGACCATCTTCAATTCAGTGAAAGGGTAAAACTCTGAAAAATGAAGAGTGCAAAGTAGACACACACACATTCACACATCCTTGTTTATACTAATTTGTGGGCTCCTTTAATTGGCAGAAACTCCAGATCCTACAACAACAGATCATCAGTAAAACAGCTCAAGTTTATTTGTCATATAATATATGGCATAAGTGACTAAATAGGTTTGGAAGTTAATGCATGAATGCATTGATATTGCTTGCAAAGAGGTTATGATTTAAATTATCTATACTTTTTCATACACAACAGTGTGACTGAGAATTGAGACCAAGCTGCTCACCTGTTCAGTGCGCTGCCATCAACCCACTTCCAGACCCCATCTTTATCACTGTCAGTCAGACCAATCCACACAATGTTTGCATTAGTAACCCTTGTAATATATTCCTAGAATGAAATATTATACATTTAGACCATAAGCAGTATTCAGCACCGATTCAAACACAATATTTCACTCACTTGTTCTTCTTTGTTGTTTATGATGACCAGATCTGCTCCTCTCTGTAAACAGTCTCGTCTGCTGTCATTCCAGTTCTTCCATTTAGAGGAAATGTAGTAGGAACTGTGCTTGTACGTTGTCCATTTAGGGTTGTCAGAGCACTGATCTGTTCAAGGAATAGTTTGCACAAAAAAATTAAATTTTGCTGAATATTTACTTACCCTCAGGCTGTTCAAGATGTAGGTGAGTTTGTTTCTTCATCAGAACAGATTTGTAGAAATTTAGCAATTCGGCTCCTCTACAGTGAATGGGTGCCATCAGAATGAGAGTACAAACAGCTCATAAAAACATCTGCAAGTAATCAACATAAATTCAGAAGCTGCATGTTTATACGGAACAAATCCATTGTTAAGGCATTTTAACTTTAAACTCTCATTACTGGCCATAATAACACTTCCTTCAGGGAAAAAGTCTGTCCCTTGTTGTCCTCTCACATCAAAATCCATCGACGTATTTGTTTAGAACTGTTTTGGACCGTTTTTGCTTGTACTGTAAACGGTTTTTTGTTTATTACCAACATGCAGCTTTCTGATTCACAAAATGTTAACTGATGGACTGGAGTCATGTGGGTTACTTGTCAATTATTGTGATGTATTATCAGATGTTTTTTTTATTATTTTACTGTTTGAGTAAGTGAAGCCAAGTTTCTAAGGAGTTGAGTGTGAGATTATTAGAAGTTGTTGCTTCAAGTAGACTGGACCACTCTGAAGTTCTGCTTTTTGGCTTTGGCTTTTTGGCTATCATTTACATATTATGTCAGCAATACAAACCAACCTGATTTATAATATTATAGCCTAAATATTATGATATCTAATCGATTACATTCATTGAAATAAATAAATAATTCTACTCCCCATAAATAACACCCAATTTTGTGAACTTCGGCTCGAAAGGAGTAACAGCACTTCTGATACATTTTCAGTCAAATCGTTTTCTGTGTGCTAGATCAGAGCTAGAGCCCTGCATTTCAGCCCAGGCCCGACGGGCCCCGACTTTTTTACACCCCTCGGGCTGAGCTTCGGGATAATTTTCACGTCATAGTTCAGACGCGGGCAGGGCCTCGGGCCTGTTTTAGGCTTCTCCTTATTTTTATATTTTAGACATCCATCAATTAGTGATGAAAAAAGATTGCGGCGCTGGTGGAAACAACACGAGACCGTGCTGCCGCGACTCAAGAGCGGCTGGGACGGTGTTTAGTGTCCAGTAGCAGCATGTATGGTGCGTGCCGTCAGCTCAGCTGAACAGTTCTGCGTTCAAATGCATGCAATAGGCTTAAGCTTGCCGCAAAGCATCGGCAAAAGTAATTACCATAAATGCGTCAGGAGGAAACAGTAAGGAGATATTTTAATTATTTACTAATAAACTAGTGTTTTCTGAGTCGGCGTCGCAAGGATGAAGTTGTCGATCCTGACTCGCCATCTCTTTATAAGTTTTTGTTTTTTATTTATTTTATTTCGTTAAGTAGTCATTTAAAACTTTCTATATGTATCATGTCTGTGAGGCATGTATTCGCTGAGTTTCGGTTCATTTTTGTGAAGCGCTCCTGTTCAAGATGAGACGGCAGGAAGCGCATCATGTTTG